TTTCTTTTTTTTGATTAGCTACTTGCACGAAAAAGAAAAATAACAGATAAGTCTCCATTCGTTGACCAAACATCTTGAACGCACAATTCGGACTAAACCACTGTAAAACCAACAGTGACAGCCTCCTGGAAGAAGTGGCAAGCTAATGCCTGTTTGTTTAACATGAAAACATTATACAGCGTATTTAAAGCACTTACGAAAGAAATCCAGAAATACATGAACGGGCTGCATGGTGATTTACCGAAGTCCCTCAGTATGGCGTTTAGGTTTTACCTGCCCCAGCCCCGTAAACTTCGACAAATATGAAAGTGGCGATGTCAAAAGCGCTTCGTAGCCCATGTCCGCCATGCGTCGATAACGAAACATATTTAGCTGTATTTCATCGACAGCATCCAGCTTTTGTTTAACATCAATCTCGCCAACATCTGAAGGAACTTAAAGAAAACCTAAAACCAAACCGAAAAATAAACCTTAAAGAACAGTGTTCTTTGTATTGAATCTGATACTTCTTAAAAGCAGGACAGACTAATTCTTTTAATGCCCCAACTCCAAAAAAAATGGCCAACGCACGAGCTGCTCGTGCGAAGATGCGTTTTTTGCATAGCTCTCCGCAGATTTTTGTGACTTACGGCACTGGTTTTTTCGGCAAATCCTTCTAGCTAAAAGAATTTCAGATTGACCGTCAAGACTGTTGAGAAACATCCCTTCAAAATTTCAGTCTTCTAGCTTCTCAGATTCCCAAGTTAGCGACTTATTAGAAAATTTTGGCGAGCCCGTACGTAGGTACCACAATTACCCGGGGGCTAGGTTTGAGCTCATTAATACTCATTTGGACGGGAAACGTCTCCTTAAAATTTCAGCCCCCCAGCATTTCTGGTTCCCGAGTTAGCAGCTTACCCGCAAAAAACTTTGGCGAGCTCATACATGGGTACCACGCGAGTAATAGCGCCCATTTTGGGGATGAGGTCCGTACATGCATGCAGATTAAGTTCCCAAAATTTCAGCCCCGTAGCTTTTGTAGGTCTCGAGATGAAAAATCGGTACAGACGAACACACAGACACAGACACACACACACAGACAACCCCTCGTCAATATGCGTTTTCTGCATTGCATAGCTGCAAAAAAACGCATAAAAAAGTTTCTTGTAGAACCCACCTGGGTAATCACTTTCATACAGAGCCTCTGGAAATGAGTATTCTTCTGGCAAACAAACCGCGCCAATAATAAATTTTACACCAATTAAAGGATAAACGTGCTTGGTGTACGCAGCATTTACCATCCGCCGTAATGAGACATCTTCCACATCGAAATCAGTTGGTCTACAGCAATTCTGAAAACGATAAGCTGACTGAGCAATTGCTCGTATATATATGATAATACAAATGCCTCTTAGAAGCCGCAGTCTACTGAGCTTCCTGTAGAACTTTCCCACTTCTAGACTGTATCAGCAAAAGGAGATGCCTCTCGTGTCAAAACACGAAAAGTGATAGATAAAATTTGTTCTAGAATGTTTCATTTTGTTCTTTTATGTGTATATAAAAAATATGCAAAAAGGGATCACAAGGAGGGAGAAGCAGTAAGGAGTTCTGGGGTAGGAAAAGCAGTTATTCCTAAAATAGGGGGCGCTGGGATGCGGCGGTTACTAGGAGAAGGCTACGACTTCAAACGGCGGATTCAGCGAGAATAAGAAGATTGCTTGCGAAGTCGGGAGTCCACAACTGCAATATTCTTTGGAGTGCTTGGGCTTTGGGGTTGATACGTGTATCACTAAGTTACGTTAATGTTGTGTTCTTGAGCTTGGTATACTAAAATAAGAAATTGAGCTTTTTGCTTGAAGCACAGCTATTTGATCATGGGCGCAAATCAAATGATCAACACTGCCTACCGCTTCCTCTCTACCACTGACTGCTCCATCTGACTTAGTGTCGTGTCCTTAATTACAGTCCGGCACACAGTCCAGACCACTGGAGCTATCGGAAAAGTTTGCAGTCAATCTAGCGATTGCAAAAACCAGCCTGCAGCTTGTGCGCACTGCAGTTCAAGATGCCAAATGCATCAAATTTGCACCGATAAAACAATTTGAGGGAACAGTCAGCAGTAAGACTGTGAGTCCCTCGCATCAACAACGCATGCAGAATGCCTGTGTAATGTCGGCAGCTGCTCAAATTCAACAAATCGGCTAAAGCAGCGTCTAAACGAAATTAAGAGTTCCTCAGTGACTATTACACACCAACCGCTTTACAGAACGGAAACATACGCTGCAATGACGATCGTACAAAGTAATGACGTCATACAGCCAGGGCGATGAAAGTTGTGCTCTCCTCGATTTGTCCTGATAATCCTCATTCAGTCGCGTATCACGTCCCGAAATTTCAAATTCCTGAAAACTCACTCACTAGTGTGCTGAAATATAAGCACAACAACTAGCAAGACGATCAAAAATCAAGAGCACAACGTTTGAATTAGCTATAATTCACAGTCCACTCTTCATCTGTGCGAGTGAAAACTTTCCGCCTCCACTGACCAGTACTGAACTGCCTGATGGTCGGCCTGACAAGGATCTTAACGTTTGTAAAATACAGAAGAAAAAGTGAGAAATAAAACATTAAATCTTATCGGAAGAGTGCGGATGGTAGACCCCAAGGCGTAAAGCTTGGATACATATGCAGTTAGACGTAAAACTCCGTTACGGAGAATTATCAAGCCACTAAAATGTGTCGGAAAAAGAAGCACTGC